CCAGGAGTTGGAGGTTGCTGTGAGCTGTAATGCCACGGCACTCTACCCAGGGGGACAGCTTGAGGCTCTGTCTCAAAAAAAAAAAAAAAAGACTTGAGAGGCAGGAGGATCAATTATGGACAGGAGTTCCAGGCTACAGTGATATAAAAAAAATTTTTTTTTTTTTGAAACAGGGCCTCAAGCTGTTGCCCTGGGTAGAATGCTGTAGCATCACACCTCACAGCAACCTCCAACTCCTGGGCTTAAGCAATTCTCTTGCCTCAGCCTCCCAAGTAGCTGAGATTACAGGTGTCCACCACAACACCCAGCTATTTTTTTTTTTTCGGTTGCAGCCATCATTGTTGTTCGGCAGGCCTGGGCTGGATTCAAACCCACCACCTTAGGTATATGTGGCTGACGCCTTAGCCACTTGAGCCACAGGTGCCGACACCCAGCTATTTTTTGATTGTAGTTGTCACTGTTGTTTGGCAGGCCCAGGCTAGATTCAAACCCACCAGCTCTGGTTTATTTGGCTGGCGCCGTAGCCACTTGAGCTACAGGTGCCGAGCCTAAAAATTGTTTAAATAATAAAGAAAAGGAGGCTGTGTGCCTGTAGCTAAGTGGTTAAGGTGCTGGCCACATACACTAGGGCTGGCGGGTTCAAGCCTGGCCCAGGGCCTACTAATGACAACTACAACAACAATAAAAAAATAGCCCAACCTTGTGATGGGCACCTGTAGTCCCAGCTACTTGGGAGGCTGAGGCAAGAGAATCGCTTAAGCCTAAGAGTTTGAGGTTGCTGTGAGCTTTGATGCCATGGCACTCTACCGAGGGCGACATAATGAGACTTTGTCTCAAAAATAATAATAATAAAGAAAAGGAAAATTTAGACAAACGTGTTGTCTTGTACCTATAGTTCCAGTACTTTGGGAGGCAGAAGTGGGAGGATCACTTGAACCCAGGAGTTCAAGACCAACCTGGGAAATAAAGTGAGACCTGCCTCTATAAAAAATAAAAAAAAATCAGCCAGGCGTGGTGGCAGGTGCCTGTAGTCCCAACTACTTCAGGAGACTGAGGCAGGAGCATCACTGGAGCCCAGGAATTTGAAGTTGCAGTAAGCTGTGAAAGAGAACCCCTCAGGTGGCACCTATGGCTCAAAAGGGTAGGGCACTGGCCCCATATGCCAGAGCTGGTGGGTTCAAACCCAGTCCCGGCCAAAAAACAAAACAAACAAACAAATAAAAGAGAACTCCCTTCTTTAAAATTAAAAAAAAAGGGGGGGGTTGCCTCTTAAGACAGACTAGAGGCCTGCAAAGAGCTGCTCCAAACTCTACAAAGTTCATTTCCCTAGATTCTGGAATCTGAAGTGAGTCACTATTAAACTCTGTATTACAGTCTGAAAAGAAAACACTCTTGGCAGTTGGTTTGAATGGAAATTATGCTTGAAGGCTTTTGTTCCTAAATTCTACTTTATTCCTTTTTTTTTTTTTTGCAGTTTTTTTTGGCCAGGGCTGGGTTTGAACTCACCACCTCCAGTATATGGGACCAGTGCCCTACTCCTTTGAGCCACAGGTGCCACCCAATTCTACTTTACTCTTAAGGGACCCTCACTTAAAGTTCATGTAAAGCACTTTTTACAAAAGCAGTACTTTTAAAAGAAAAACTAAGATCTAGGGCAGATAGATTCATAGGATCTGAAGAATGATTGTCAAGTATAAATTCCAGCAGACAGCATGTTAGAGAGGCCATCCTTGTGTGGACATTCTCCTTATGCAGCACCTAGGAGCTGCCAGGCACAGAGGTGGCAAAAAGCAATCAGGCTCTGCCTCCACTGTCAAGCAGCTCTGAGTCCAATACATGGAGCTGGGCAAATGCAAAGAGAGTCCCCTAATCAGTGGAAACAAAGCACAGGTGGGTGACCTAAGGGCTGCGTCTCCAGAGCACAGCCAGTACTCTACCCCTCATAATCCAAGAGGGCCTTAACTCATCATCCAAAGACAATCAAACCACAGCACCTTGGTGAGCTCAGCCCTGAGTTCCTCTTCCTCAGCCTCCGTTAGGCCTTCATCAGCAAGAGTCCGGGCAGCCACAGCTGTGTCGACAGGGACATCAGTCATGGAGTCAGACAGCAGACCTTTGTTAGGAGAATTCAGATTGATGTCTGTCAGAGACAAAATGAAGCCATAAAGTATCAAGTAAGTTACTAGGAGGTAAATAGGGTAGAGGTCCTCACCAGAATTAAAGTAAGAGTGAGAGGCAGACTCTGGAGACTAACATCTCTTCTCTGCAAGGCCTTCGGAGACAGTATGGGTGTCTCAAATGAGATACAAATCTAGTAGCAGCACTACCAATGCTGGCCCAGGGCACCCAAACCCTAACTCTAGTGCCCCCTACTGTGAAGCAGGAAACCTTCACTACAAACAAAGTAGTCCAGGCTCAGCGCCGGTAGCATAGTGGTTATAGCACCACCCACATACACCAAGGTTGGAGGGTTCGAACCCAGCCCAGTCCAGCTAATCAACGACAACTGCAACAAAAAATAGCTGGGCATTGTGGCGGGCGCCTTAGTCCCAGCTACCTGGGAGGCTGAGGCAAGAGAATCACTTAAGCCCAGGAGTTTGAGTTTGCTGTGAGCTGTGATGCCAAAGCACGCTACTGAGGGCAACACAGTGAAACTGTCTCAAAACAAACAAACAAACAAACAAACAAACGAAGTCCAATCTAACAGATCTTCCATTTTTTTTACAGCAAAGGAACTTACTATGGCTTAAAGAGAGTATTACTTTCCACTCAACTCATCTACCAGGGCACATACTAAAACTACATTAAAGAAACATGTACTAGCCATCCAGCTTCTGCAGGGAGTCAGCAAAACAAAACCCCCTTTAATCGGCTCAGCACCCGTGGCTCAAGTGGCTAAGGTGCCAGCCATATACACCTAAGGTGGCAGGTTTGAATCCAGCTGGGGCCCGCCAAACAACAATGATGGCTGCAACCAAAACAAATAGCCAGGCATTATGGCAGGCGCCATTGTGGCAGGTTCCAGCTACTTGGGAGGCAGAGGTAGGAGACTCGCTTGAGCCCAGGAGTTGGAGGTTGCTGTGAGCTGTGATGCCACAGCTCTCTACCTAGGGGGACAGCTTGAGGCTCTGTCTCAAAAAAAAAACAAAAAAACCCTTTCATCGAATCTGTGACTCTCATCCCACAACCAGGAGGCTACCAGCATGTGGAGAGGCCCACACACCTCAGCTACACCCAGATCAGATTCAAATTCCTCCTGTCATTACTTTCACATTAAATGCATGTTCCTGTCTGCACTAACAGTCTACAAGATGTCACATAAGGAAAAATGGCTGACTTCAGTTCTCTCCATTTCCAGACACATGACTGTTGTATAGGCCTCTCATACACAGTTTATAAAGAAACAGGTTTAGTTTGGTGTTTTTCAAAAAAGCAATAAGCACATTGATCTGACATGTTTAAAAGTAAATTAAAATGCATAAAGACTGGAGAGAAAAGTGTCTTCAGGGCCAGGCATGGTGGCTCAAGTCTGTAATCCCAGCACTCTAGGAAGCCTAGGCAGGGGAATTACCTGAGCTAGAGTAAGATGCCATCTCAAAAAATAGCCAGGGTTGTGGTGGGCACTTGTAGTCCCAGCTCTTGGGAGGCTGAGGCAAGAGAAACACTTGAGTGCAAGAGTTTGAGGTTGCTATGAGCTGTGACGCCATGGCACTCTACCCAGGGCAACATAGTGAGACTCGGTCTCAAAAAGAAAAAAAGTGTCTTCACAGTCTCTGGCTCAAAGGAGTAGGGCACCAGTCCCATGTGCTGGAGGTGGTGGGTTCAAACCCACCCCTAGCCAAAAACTGCAAAAAAAAAAAAAAAGTGTCTTCAATTATAGATGTTTGTCAACTATACAAATCCTAAAGAGTAGAAAAACAGACTGCACTTAAAGATCTCCTATTTATTTAAACAAAGATCTCCTTAAAAGTAACTGGCTGCGGGCAGTGCCTGTGGCTCAAAAGGGTAGGGCACTAGTCCCATATGCTGGAGGTGGCAGGTTCAAACCCAGCCCTGGCCAAAAAAAAACTGCAAAAAAAAAAGTAACTGGCTGCAACTTACTCCTTTCCCATGTCCCATACAGCTGGAGCTATATAATTTCTTGGTGTTCAGCACATGTTTACTAAACGAACTATGCCTACTTTTTTTTTTTGGAGACAGAGTCTCACTCAGTCTCCTTGGGGTTGATTGCCGTGGCATCACAGCTCACAGCAACCTCAAACTCTTGGGCTCAACTGATTCTCTTGCTTCAGCCTCCTAAGTAGCTAGGATTATAGGTGCCTACCACAATGCCCTGCTATTTTTAGAGACAGGGTCTTGCTCTGGCTCAGGCTGGTCTTGAACTTGTAAGCTCAGGCAATCCACCCACCTCCCATATGCCTACTTCTTTATCAAGTGATTCTAATTTTTATCTGAGACTGACCTATATGATTTCATCATTCATATCCACTGTGTTCAACCGAGTCAAGTTCAGTAAGGCCTACAATTTTTCTCTTCTACTGTTATTTATTTAACTTTATTTTGAGATAGAGTCTTACTTTGTCACCCCTGGTAGAGTGCCATGGTGGTACCATAGCTCATAGCAACCTCAAACCTTTGGGTTCCAGTGATCCTCTTGCCTCAGCCTCCTGAGTAGCTGGAACTACAGGCACCTGCCACAATGCCTGGCTAGTTTTAGAGACAGGGTCTGCTCTTCCCCAGGCTGGTCTTGAACTCCTAAGGTCTGGCAATCCACCTGCCTCAGCCTCCCAAAGTGCTAAGATTAGAGTTGTGAGCCACCACGCCCAATGCTTTTGGACAGTTTCTGCTGAAAAAGCTAAAATTGAATCCCATCAAAATCACCCTCAGATGGAAACTGGACATTTACCAAACATGTGCCAGCTGCCTTACAATCCCTCTGGGATATACCAACCTCAGCACACCCTTCCAAGCAGCAGTTACTCACATCCTGATCTACAGATGAGAGTGAGGCCAGTAAAGTCTTACCAAAGTTACTACAGAAAATAAGTGTGGGGCTCGTGCCTTAGACAAAACTAGCAAGCTAAAGTCCTTCACCCTGGGTGAGCCCCAATTCTCTAAAATTGTATACTCCTCTGCAAAATGGAGGTAATACAAAAAGCAATCTCAAAAAGTTATTTGGAAAATGGTAAAAGATCACTTGAGAAGCAGACTTATGGGCGGAACCTGTTGCTCAGTGAGTAGGGCACTGGCCCCATATAAGGAGGGTGGTGGGTTCAAATCGGGCCCTGGCCAAACTGCAACAAAAAAAATAGCCGGGTGTTGTGGCAGGCGCCTGTAGTCCCAGCTACTTGGGAGGCAAGAGAATCTGCTAAGCCCAAGAGCTGGAGGTTGCTGTGAACTATAACATCACAGCACTCTACTGAGGGCGACAAACTTAGACTCTGTCTCTTAAAAAAAAAAAACAACAAATAAACAAATAAAAGCAGACTTACCATGGTATCTAGCACATAGTAAGCGCTCAGTAAATGTTTCGTCACTCTTATGATCAGAATCTATTTCCTGTGATGCTTAGAGACACAAATTAAATAGTGAAAGCCTCCTGAACTCAACACACCTGAGGACATTCGAAGAGCAAATACTTTGTAAATGGCCAGTGAAAGCAGAAAAACCTCCAGAATCTATCGAAACCCAGGAATTCTAATTAATATGCTGATGCAAGACAAAAAGAAAAGGTTCCCGGACTTATCCAGCGTGGCTATGTCAATGTGGGGATTTAGCATCCTCTCTCTAGAGCCCCAGAATGGAAGACAGACGTGTATCATCTCAAGATTTTAATCTCCTCGACCCGCTCCATACGCCTTCTCGTGGTGTGGGGTGTCCGCTCTAGAAACAGCCTGGTACGCAGGATGTGCTCCAGACTCACTCTGCCCCCTCCCCACGAGGCAACTCCTAAGTAGGCAGGGCTTCGAGCAGGGTTACCGCCAAGGGGCGAAGCGCTATACGCTGTGACGGTTCCGCCTCCCCTTCTCTTCCTCGGAGACGCCCTCAACATCTCGGCCCAGAGCCAGGGCCACAAAGGAGTGTCCCCGGAGGCCCCAGAGCAGAGACGGCAGAGCATGGTGGGGAGTGAGTAGTATAAGAGGCCGTACTGGAGTGAGAAAACGCAAACTGGAAACGCGGGAGAGAGCCAGGCAGGCGGGCCTCAGAGCAGCCCCAGGGGAGACAGGCAGGGCAGCTAGAGAGACCAGAAAGCGGCCCGAGCGAGTGACGGAAGATGCACACCGCGACCCGAGCTTCGAGGCTGAGGGCCTGGGAGCTGAAAAGGGGTCGCGGGGCGGACAGGCAAGGCAGAGCCTGGCAAGGGGACCCGGCCAACCCCGGTAAGTACCTTGGCCAGCGGAATCCATGTTCAGGCAACAGCCGGGTTGTAGCGGGTGCCTGAGCCGCGTTGCCGAAGCTACAGGAGACAAACAGGCCGCGCCCGGAGTCCCTCGCCGCGAACACATTAACCAGCGGAACCTCCCTGGCCACGGAGGCATTACGTAATCAGCGATGCGACGGCCCCGCTTCCGCTTGGTCCGCCTGCGTCCCGCCCCCCACGAGCGGGGTCCAACTAGAGAGTTGTTTGGCCCAGTCCCGGTTTATCCGGTTCAACCTGATAGGTCGACACTGCAGGCGAAGCGAGAAGCGGAGGCTGGGTTCTGAGGGAATCCAACTCACCGCCCGTGTTTGCTCCACCAACGAGATGTGCAGGTAGAACGGTCAGAACAGCTAGAGCATTGGGGAGGTGGGAAGTGGCAGGGCCGCCCGACGGGGCGCTGTGGAAAACCAGGGCTGAGCCCCAGGGGACTCTCAGGGACGTATGCTGATGCCCCCAAGCGCCACGGCTCGTGCCTCTTGGAAGGTCACAGGCCCTAGGAGATCTCTTCAAGTTCAGACCCCCGGGTTTGGGGGCCAGTGCCCCCCTGTAAGTCATATCTTTTTAGTTATTTTTATGGAGACTTTATTTTATGGGGATTACGCAGAAAAAGATGAGACGCGGTTCGTCCACTTGCCCTGCAGGCGCCGCTGCCCTCCCGGCTGCTCGAGTCCTTGAATTCTGCTAATACAGTGCATCTCGTCCCGCGGAGTTCACAGGGGTGGGAGAGAGGGCGTGGACACTGCAGGAAGCCCCCGCGCGCAACCTGCCGCCCGGCCCTGTGCCGCCCCCTTGTCGCCTCACTTCCTTTGCACAGCAACCGCAGAACAAGTACTGGAGCCTTCCCTACTTTACAGATGAGGAAACTGAGGTTAAAGTAACTCGCCCAAGGTCCCTCAGCTGGATGCAGAACTACCAGGAAACTCTGAGAAACATGAGTTTATCGGACTTCAAAGGAGAAATGTGTAACCACCAGGCAACTGGCCCCACTGAAACAAGTCTCAATTTTCCTTTGGCTCCTACCTGTGCCTAGAAGAAAATCCTTACATGGTATTCAAACCCTTTTGGATCTGACCCCTCTGGATTGCACATCCCCCTTCCAGCCAGGCCTCTGCAGGTACTGCCCCCTTTTCTTCATCTGGCCCACCTCCCACACATTTTCCTGGTATTCTTGCAGTGGCCAAGAGCCTTCACCTTCATAGCCTATTCTTCTCTGGGTCTCTCAATAACATGTCTTCCCCGCTTGCCACCTTTCTTTCCAGAGATTCTTGCCCAACCCAACCTGACTAGACCAGGGGCTAGGGCCAATAGGGATAACCAACAGTCCCTGCTTCCTGTAGTTCAGGGAAGACCACAAAGAAGTGACATAGATGGTGGTGAACAGAGACCTTTTCTCTCATTCTGTGGTGCATTTCTGAGCCAGGAACAAGACCTAATCCAGCCCTGGCTCTAGGAGACACCCAGTAATGAGGGGTTAGTGCAGGTGTCTATAGCCCCATATACCACTGTACCTGTTACTCTTGAGTCTGTAGTCCCTCTGTGAATCCCCTTCTGTAGAAGCCAGAAGTGTGGGCGTGGGGAGGAAACTACAGATTAGCAGCATCGCACTGCTGGGAATGTCCAGCCTCTAAGACCTGCCTTATAGCCCAACAATGCCAATGTCTTCCTTCAATAGCACTCAGCTGGTATTGTCTTCCCGGAAGCCATCCTGTAACCCAGGCCAGGTGAAAGGCTCTTCCTGGTGTCCCCACAGCCCCTGCTCCCTTCATCCTCTTGTGACCGAAGCTCCAATCACACAGTATTGCCATAAACTGGGTCAGGTTAATCTTTGCATTCCCTTCAGGAGCTGGGTGCAAGTGTCCAAAAGTGTTTGTGGAAGGAAGATGAAGGAGGGAGACCAGGGAAGAACAAAGGGAAGGCCAGAACACCCCAGTGAAGGAGGGCATGAGGTCCCCCTGTGCCACCCACCCTCCTGCAGACACCAGGGGATCCCCTGGCAGGGCTAGCTTTACTGGGTGGGGTGTGGGAAGGTGTATGAGCGTGCACACCACCCCCAGAAGTGGCTACAGGCCCCAGGGCAACTGGAAGTCCTCAGGTTCTAGTGGGCTACAATGGGTCGCCTCTACATTCTTCAGGTGCTTCCGTGCCAGAAACAGTGCAAGCTGCCGGCGCCGCCTCGGGCTCAGGCCTTGGCCCACCAGCCAGGGGAAGGCGGGCCCATGTGGCCCCCAGGCCTCTTCATCCTGCTGTTCTTCCTCACAGCGCGCACGGTAGTTGCGTAGCAAAGCCAGACACCATTCGTCATCCACGCGGTAGCGCCCGTAGAAGGCAGCCTCCTGTGCCAGGCTGCTAGCGCGCAGCCAGCGAGTTACCACAGCCTGGCCCTCGCACGCCATCACAGCTGGATAGCGACTCTGCAGTAGACGGAGCAGCAGCTCATTGCCGCGGTTGCCCTCCACATCGCCTGATGGCAGTGGGGGTAGGCTGCTCGAGGTGCTGACCACGTCGTCCTGTGTGCGCCTGAGCAGCAGCACTGGTCCAGGGTAGCAGCACAGCTGCTCAGCAACGTTGAGGTTGAAGTGCTCACGCACGGTGCGCACTACCAGCCCTTTCCAACTGTGGGGCATGACCTTAAGTGCCAGTGGCATGAGGTCATCGAAGGTGGCATCGAGCACCAGCGCACCCAGCTCTGGGTAGGTCATGGTGGCCCAGGTGGCCGTGAAGCCGCCAATAGACCAGCCATAGACCACCACTTGCGCGGGGGCGAAGTGCAGGCGGTGCAGCGCGTACTTTACCACCACATCCATGGCATTGGCGTCATTCTGTGGAAAGGGTGCACCGGTGCTACCCCCAAAGCCTGGGTGGTTCCACCCTAGCACTGAGTAGCCAGCCTCCAGCGGGGCAGATAGACAGCCCATCTCGTAGAAGCCAGCATTGCCTTCGCAGCAGATGACGAGGAGCAGTCCTCGCCCGTGGCTGCCTGGGTGTTGGCGGCGATCCATAAACATGGTGTCAATCTCATTGCCATCACAGGCGACCAGCTTGGCTCGCCGGCCACGGTAGCGCTCTACGAGGCGCTCTTGGCCCTGCTGCAGCAGCGGCAGCAGCGCACGTGTCATTAGAAACATGGAGCCAGGGTACACAAGCCAGCGGCCCAGCGAGTGGGCCAGCGCATAGCTGGCAAGCTGGCCTGGCAGCTGGCGGATTTGCTGCAAGAGACATTGCGCCTGGCTGCGCGCCCCACGCAGTGGCCGCCCAGGCGCATCTTCGCCTAGCGCCGCATCTCGCAGGAGCCAGACACCTGCGACGGCCGCAGCGCACGTTAGAGCTCGATGGCTACTGCCACCGCTGGCAGCACGCACGTCATCCCAGCGGAAGTCCACTGGCCAGTCCCGGAAGTTGTAGCTGTAGTTAGCGGTCAGGTAGACCTTGAACACGTGCACTAGCGCCTTCACGAAGCAGATGACACACATGGGCGCTGAGGCTATGGGCTCTTTCACTCAGTTGCCGGGCGGGATTCGCTGCCCGGGGTGGGCTGCAGGGGCGACTCCGCACAGGGCTGCCTTGGGGCATGCCCGCTCTAGGCTCGGCCCTGAAGGCCTTTGTGACCAGAAAGCCTGAAGGGAGGCTGCGTCCGCCCAGCAGGGGCCAGCTTTGTGAGTCACTGTTGCTGGGGCAGAGGCGACGCGAGGGTGCCGGATGCACAAAGGGTTCCCCAGGGTAGTGGACCTCAAGTTCTGTCCACCTGCCCCGCCCCGCCCCGCCCCGCCCCATGCCTTAGGACCCCACAGTGGCCACACCTTGGGCTGCCCCACCAGCCTCCCATACACCTTAGCAGTTCCCATCTCCTTCCTTAAACTGAAGAACAACCAAGCAGGCAGAAATGGACACCTTGACCTCTTCCTGGCGGCAGCTGGGTCACACTAGGCAAAGCGCTTGCCAGGGTACCGGCAAAGGCTGAGGCAGACCGGCTGCTGCTGGGTGGAGAAGGCGGGGTTTGCACAGGCCTGCTAGCCCTGCACACCTTTCTTCTCAAGAGAGGGGATGAGTGCAGGCTGGAACTCCTTCTCTTTTAGGGGTCCTCTTTTCACGGGCAGCAGCAATGACCTCCAGGTGGGTTCTGCCTGGCATGTGGTTCCTCTTTTTGAGTCCCCCCACCCACCCAGCAAGGAGTATCTTCCTCTTTTCTGGAGGGCTCTGGTGGGTTCCCCATTTTCTCCTGCACCTGAAGGGGAAGGAGGTGGGTTTTAGGCCACCAAGGGGAGCCCCAGGGGAGGGTGGAGGCTCAGGCTTCCCCACTCAACAGTTCCTCGGCCATGAAACAAAAATGTGAAAACCAGGGAATTTGGCAAACCTAGCTACACCGTCTGAGCCCAGGAGCCAGGCCTGCCTGAGAGACTTCAGGTTATTTGGGAAAGGGGAGTTCCAGGCCCCAACAGCTCCTCTCTTCTCTCCTGCACTATGTCTGAATTAGGGGTACTGCCTGGCCCAAACAGTGGCCAGCAGCTCTTCCAGTCATCTGAGAACTGCTGCTGTCTTTAAAGGCCTGGGACAATGATGGGTCAAATGACACAGTGATTGATTGATATACTAGCTATTCCCCTATCCCTAGTTTCCAGATGAAATACAGAATACCCAGTTAAATTTGAATTCTAGATAAACAACAATTTTTTTCCCCTAAAATATAGTGTCTTGATTGGCGCCTGTGGCTCAAAGGAGTAGGGCGCCAGCCCCATATGCTGGAGGTGATGGGTTCAAACCCAGCCCTGGCCAAAAAGTGCAAAAAAAATAAGAAGTAGGGCCTTGCTGTTGCTCAAGCTGATCTCAAATGATCCTACGAAGTAGCTGGGACTACAGATGCATACCACAATAAGTATGTTCCAAATATTGAATGGAATATAGTTATATTTAAAAATTATTCTGTAATCCCAGTACTTGGGAGGCCAAGGCAGGTAGACTGCCTGAGCTTACAGGTTGGAGACCAGCCTAAGCCAGAGTGAAACCCCATCTCTAAAACATAGCTGAGCATTGTGGCAGGCGCCTATAGTCTCAGGTACTTGGGAGACTGAGGCAAGAGGATCATTTCAAACCAAGAGTTTGAGGTTGCTGTGAGCTGTGATGTGTTGGTACTCTACCCAGGGTGATAGGTGATAGTGAGAGACTCTGTCAATAAAACAATAAAATAAAAAATATATAAAAAATAAAATATTTGTTTATCTGAAATTTGAATTTAATTGGATACCCTGGGTTTTTTATTTTATTTTTTTTTTTTTGTAGAGACAAAGTCTCACTTTATCACCCTCAGTAGAGTGCCATGGCATCATACAGATCACATCAACCTCCAACTCCTGGGCCTAGGCGATTCTCTTGCCTCAGCCTCCCTCAGCGGACTACAGGCGCCCGCCACAATGCCCGCTATGTTTTTTTTGTTGCAGTTTTGGCCAAGGCCAGGTTTGAACCCGCCACCCTTGGTATATGGGGCTGGCACCTTCCCACTAAACCACAGGCACTGCCCTGGATATCCTGTTTTTAAGTGTTTAAGTTTTTAACACACACACACACACACACACACAAGCTAGCAGAGATCTAGATCTTTCTGATTATCCAGCTTTATCCCAGGCTGGGCTGCTCTGCTTATTGGTTAGGTCCTAAGGACCAAGAGGGTGTCTTAGGGCACATAGGTGTACCTGATCAAGTCCCCACCCTCCTGTTTCCTCCATCTCTATGGGGTCCAGCAGCAAGGGCAGTGCCCAGGAGTGAGCCCACAGGTGCCACACCCCTGGCCAGGTATGGGCAGAGCTTTCCATGGAAATGGTAGCTTCTCCTCCTTCTGAAATGTCCACCCCACTTCACAGACTCAGATGCTATATACCCTAGATGAGGGGGTGGGGGCACAGGCTCTAGGCTCATTTTGTGTGAGACCGTAAGAGTGACCCCCAACAACAGATCGGTACTTGATTGGGGGTTCCTGCTTCCTCGGCCCAGGTCCTGGCAGTGCATGGGAGGTACCTTAAAGAGTCCCATCCCTGGTTTGGACCCTGCAGGACACAGCAGTGGGTGTCCTGGAGGACTGTCCATACAGTGTTAGACATGCCACGTTTTGTTTTGATTCCTCAGAAAAGATCCTATTTGGAGGAGCCCAGCCTGATCAGCTCTGAAACTTTTTTGGAAATGCAGGCTTTTCTTCAGCCAGGCCTACCTGCCCTTAGCATCAGACAAACAAAAAACCCAGAGCTGGAAGCTCAGAAAATGACGGGGAGAGCCAGAGATCAAATTTGGACTCTTGAGTGGCAGAGGTGAACCGGCTAGGTCACTGGCCCCAGTGGTTCCATACCTTATCCTGTTTCTTCTCTTCCCCTCTCTCCCCACCTCACTAATCCATGGGAGCCTGAGTGCCCCAGGACCACAGGAAAGCATGTGACAGGAAGGGAGCTGCTCCTCCAAGAGAGCCCCCAGGCTAGGCCAGCTGCAGCAGCAGTGACCTCTTATGCCCCTACCCCATCTGTTCATGGAAGTATCCACAACAGTGCAGGGGTGGGTCTCTGTCCCTGCTTGTCCATTTGTGGGATCAACCCCCCTAAGCCCTCCAGTGCCCTCCAGGCAGACATCTGAGCATGCACTCCACCCTCACAGGGCTTTCACCCTCCTCCACAGAGGAGCTAGCCTCCCATAGGCCCTTGATTTATGCTTTGGGAGCCTGCAGAGACAACTTTAGAGAAGAAAGAAAAGGAGAGAGGGAAAACAAGTCCCAGAGGCTGCAGGGGCAGGAGCCAGGATCAGAACCCTGGGCAGAGGGCATCCAGCTGAGCATAAAACCAGCCCCAGCAATTTTAGCTCAGGGAGTATTGCCCAGGCCTTGACAAAGCTAAAGCCATCTTGGCGGGAGAGGGAGCTGAGTCTGCACACATGCCTCTGCTCAGGAAATGGGGTGCAGGGGAGGTGGGGGTGGCCTGGAGCCCAAGGACAGGAGGAGATGCTTCCTGGCGGATGCAAGGTCAGAAGAAGGGGCGGAAATGGCTGAGACAGCTGCTGAACATCTGGAGTCCAGAGAATTAATTACCCAGCACCCGCAATGACAGGAGGTCTGGGGGGAGCAGCTCAGGAGGAAGGCTTCTCTTTCCTGGCCCCCTGCTGGGTCTGTCCTTTGTCTCTGTAGTTCAGGATAAAGGACGCTTCTAAGCAGTCCTTCCCCAGTGTGTCCCCCTAACACCCATCCCAGGAGCAAAGAAGTCATAATTATTCCTTCTAAATCTTTAACCACACTGAGAGCCTGTGACCACACAGGGCACACCCTTTGGGTGACCAGCTGTGTGTGGAGAGGAGGAGCTGGAGGGTCTGAGGAGAAGTCACTGTCTTTGCCCAGCACTATTTAAGCCTCTGTGCCCCATACCTGTTTCCTCTCCTGTGGGAATGGGCCAGGGTCACTCCGGGACTCCTGACACACACACACACCCCCATACACTACTGGGTGGCAAGGCAGGGCACAGCCACATTCTCCCCATGTCAGGGTAAAGCCTGGTTAAATGTCAAGAGCCCTGCAGCTCTGATGTGCTGAATTCTGTGGTACAGGAAACAGTTTTCACTTTCTTTTCTTTTCTTTCTTTTTTTTTTTTTTTGAGACAGAGTCTCACTCATCACCCTGGGTAGAGTGCCCTGGCATCACAGCTGACAGCAACCTCAAACTACTGTGTCAAGTGATCCTCCTGCCTCAGCCTCCCAGATAGCTGAGACTATAGGCACTCACTACAATGTCCGGCTAGTTTTTCTATTTTAAGTAGAGACAGGAATCTCACTCTTCCTCAGGTTGGTCTCCAACTCCTGAGCTCAAGGGATCCTCCTGCCTTGGCCTCCTGGAGTGCTGGAATTAGAGGTATAAGCCACAGTGGTTGGCCAGTTTTCACCATTTCTGAAGAATTTGGAGGGCCATCATATGTTCTGGGCTTGTCTCACCTGGCTTAGAAGACCTACAGAGGTCTTACCCTTGCAATACCAGGTTTTGATAAAAGATGAGTATATAAGTATTATTGTTGTTAATAAAAATGTATCATTTTCACTGCAACTAGAGAGACAAGTATGTAAAAAATGTTAACCAACCTTTCCATGCCCCTTCCTGCATATCCAGAGTCATTAACCCAGACTGTGTCCTTTCACACCCTTCTATCTGCCTACCAAATACACACAATCTTATCTAGGGGGTCATTTTGTCATCTGCTTTTACAGCAATAGATGGCAGGTACACAGGACTGTGCAGCTTGCTTTTCTCCACAATGTCTGTGTCGTGAGCATCACTCTTGCCCTCGGCACAGCAGATGTCTGCACGTTCCCTGGCGCTTGTGCTAATGCTGAGTAGTATATCCTTCCTCTGGTGGACACACAGGTTCTAGGCTTTCTCCATCTGCAGATGTGACTGCAGTACACAGACTTGTCAAGGCCCCTGGCTTCCAGGTACTTTTCTGTACCCTAGAATTCTTCAGTTCCATTGCTCAGTCAGAGTGTGTTCCTAACATCAAGAGATTTTACCAAATTGCATTTCCAAAAAGTTTTGCCAGCCAGTGAGTCCACTGGGGGAGCTTGTCTTTGCAGGCTCTACAGCAACACTGGGCAGCTCTGTGTCTTTAGTTTTGAGCATCTGTGTTGTGTATAAATGTAAGGAATACCCTGATCCTGGCTGTGGACCAGGCCAGCAC